GGCCTGAGCCAAGTTGTGAGGATTTAGTGGTGTTACAAATGCTGGCAAAACGTTATCGTTTTGTTGTAGGATTGTGTCTACTGGTGAAATACCTGGCATTTGGCGTGGGTCATAGAGATAATAGGTTTGCTGTCCCAACTTCATAGCCAATGCATTTAATTCAACAGTTGGTGTTATATTCGTTCTGGCAGATGCACCATCTTCAGTGCGACGACTTAGTTTTGGTATAGGATGTTTATATCGTGTTTTTTCAATTGCTTCAGCGGCAGCCAAATGCTGAGCTTTTTTAATTTTAAAACCTTCAGCAGAATACTCTTCATCACCTAACTTGAGAGTGACTTGAAAGCGCTTGCAATGTGGTGGACCTTTCTCGTTTGTTAAGCGGTATTGGTGTGTAATCTATTATATAAAATTTTGTTAAATCCACTTCTAAAGCTGTAGTATTTATTACTTACTTTATTAAATCTAGCCAACTCATTAACTAAACACATAGGTGTTTTTTCTTTTGAATTCTTTGCAGGAGATGTATCATCATCTGAAAGTATATTGATGTTGTTGGAATTTATAATATTATTGTTGGAATGATTGTTATTAGTAAAGTTGATGTTGTTGTTATTTTGAGGCTCTTGATTTCCTTCGAGGGAAATATTTTCTTTATTAGACTCATCTGAATTATCTGAAATAAATTGCATATATAATATTAAAACTGGATTATTGTATTAAAAGGAAAACTACCTGTAGGTGGCGGCGGCGATTGTTGTTGTGTTGGTTGTTGTTGTTGTGGTTCCTCAACTATGATTTTTTCTTGCGTCTTTTGCAGATCTTCTGCTGTGTTTGGAGTTTCACTGCAGTCTACAACTGCAGTAGAGGATGTTGCATCTGGGGTGATAATAATATTGTTATTGTTATTTACAGTACTTGGAATATCTGGTTTTTTATTTGGCATTTTGGCAACGCCCAGCGGAGCCTCAGCAGATGTAGATGCCATTTGGGACCGTTGTTTTCCAAAGCGATATTGATTTTGTGAAAACTGTTTCTGACCAGTATAATTATTTGCATTATTATTGTTAAATCTTGGTTTATTGCCTGTGTAGTATTGCGGTTGCGGTTGTGGCTGCGGCTGCGTATGTTGTATGTGATTTTGGGAGTTGCTGTTTGATATTGGCTGTTTGTTAATATTCACGTTATTAATATTGGGCATGCGATACTGCCCATGTTGTTGCTGCTGTTGAGGCAACTGTTGCTGTTGCTGCTGTGGATGCGCATGGTGTGTCGGATGTCGTATATGTGTTTGTGACTGGACCTGTTGCGCCGCAGCCATACGCGGTTGATGATTATATTGGTGATGAATTTGTTGATGGTTGCCTTTGTTTATATTGTTATTGCTATTTATATGTTGATGTTGCTGTCTTATTTTTTGCATGTGTGTTGTTGAGGGCAACGATGTTTGTTGATTTTGTTGCTGATGATTTACACTAAATAAACACAATAAATAATACATAAATTAAACTTAACTAAACAATTTCAGTTAGCCTATGCAAATAAAAAAAGATATAACAGCAGATTCAGTAGATAAAATAGTATATAAACATTTCATTTTTATTATGAAGGTTTAATCCTTAAGGTTTAACTATCGGAAATTTGACCTCGTTGTAAAAAAACGTACATATAGCTTGAAGTCAGTGTTGCATTCTTTTTATTTGTAGTTCTAACATATTCAAATTATCTTTACACACTACGAGCTAGAAAACAGATTTAGACAGGAATAACCGATTCCGATTCACCCACAGCAATCTCATACTCGCAGAAATGGAATGAATAATGTCATAACCTCAAATACAACTTTCAAGTTAGTAGTTCTGTTCAATTGGAGATAATTAGTTAATTTAATTATTATTTTATAATAATAATGATTTAATAATGAATAAAAAATTATTTAAATTTTAATTTATTGAAATTAATCAAATTTTTGTTGTTGTTTCTTTATTACTGTTCGAACCCTTTCAGTTCTTTTCGTTATAAGACGCGGCACATTCGACAAAAAAAAATTCACGTTAAAAAATTATTTAATTTTGAAATCTTATAGTCTAATAATAATAAGTAGCTATAATGTAATGGATATCTTAGATATTGGATATCTGGATATCTTCGCAGTGCTTTTCTTGCTCTTCTTCTACTCACTTAAGCCTTAGTGAGTAGAATATTAGCATCAGCAAATAAATATACAATTAGTCTTTCTCTAATATCAGCAAATCGCTTTTGTCTTCATCAGGAGAATTCCTAATACATTTGTTGTTGTTGTTGTTGTAATCTTTGACGGGCGTAGCAAGCGATACTTGACTGGTTGTATAGACAGAAGGATCGCAGAATTAAAAACTTAACTAATTTTGGTGCTTAGGTGGAAGGGATTTCTTTTTATAAATCCATTAATCGAGTCACGTTTTTATATGTGGATGGAATAAATTATAGGACTAAGTATATCTACGGTGCTAATTTTCAATTTCTAGCTACCACTGTTGTGTTCAGTTATTGTCATTGAACAATATACTGAGGGCATGGCTTTGTAACCATGATATGGTTATGAGGCCATGACAGTTACAAAGCTCCAAAACCTAAAGTTTTAAGCACAAAGAAAAAACTATACAGCGGGAAATTTATAGTGTGTTCTATCTCAACATAAGGATAATGGGAGACTTAGTCGCATGTCGCTTCTCAGGTTAAGTTAACAATGTAAGCAATATTACATTATATTTGAATATAGTATATCTTCAATATTTATTATTTTTATATAATACAATTTGTATACACAGAGATGAATATGTTCTAAGAGAAGTGTTAAAAGGATATTGCCAATGTGTTATTTATGGGAAGGAATTATTAAGATTGAATTGTCTATTTATTTACATTGAATATAATTAAATACTTAGCTTTAAATGAAATTGAATTCGCTTGGTTTTTTTAAATGAATTCAAAAATAAAATCA